AGGAGGAGTAGAACAAGGCATGGGTACTGCAGGAGCCAGTCATCCCTACAATATGTTTCCTAACTACAACATAAAGTACCCAATGAATGTAGAGATGTTTGGTAATATGGGCACCACCCCATATGGCATGCCGAATAAAGGAGGAGGCAATTACCCTAATATGAATATGATGAATGGAATGAGTGGAGCCAACGACATGAATAACGCAGGTGGAAATGCTAACCCCGCTGGGGGAGGCAGTTCTTATGGAGGGCTCAACACAATGGGTAATATGAACAGCTACAATATGATGGGCGCCTATGGAGACAATAGGTACAGTAACTTAAAGTCCATGGATCCGATGAAGACATTCAATGATGGGATGGTTATGGGCGGAGCAGCAGGTGCAGCAGCAGCAGGTGCTGGTGCAGCAGCCCACCATGGAAATAACAACCTTACCAATATGATGGGCACGGGTAATATTGGCAACGTGGGTAACTACAACAGCTTGAACAATTTTATGCATAATCGGAATTACCCTAATGATATGAGCATGCGAATGCTCAGCAGTAGAGGCATGATGGGGGTGAACAACCCTGCGAACATGTGTAACAATCAGGGCACCATGATGATGATGGGTGCGGGAGGAGCAGCAGGAGTCGGTGCACCTGGGGCAACTGGAGTAGGCATGCACGCTAACACAAGTAGTGCTGCCCGATTTAAGAATGAACAGGGGGAAGATGAAGAGTACGATGATGAAGAAGATGCAAATGGTGGCTCGGCCTTATATGGAGGAAGTAAATACATAGGGGGCAAAAATGCACATGGAAAGCAAACGAATAAAGCAAAAAAATCGGAGACGCAAAAGAAAGATAAGAAAAAAAAAAAAAAAAAAAAAAAAAAAAAAAAAAAAAACGCAAATACCTCCCTTGATACAGATGAAGATGAGGACAATGAGCTGTATGTCAACACGTATGTGAAAAAGTCCAATACGAGGAGTAGTAGTAAGAAGTCCCAGCTGTATGATCCCGTGGAAGATCGATACAATGAAAGGGCAAAACGGAATGAGAAAAACGACATTTTTGTTTCCCCGTATGTGGGCGCAGTGGAAGGAAGAACCAATTTGAGGGAGAGGAGGAAGGTATACAATTACGCTCAGATGGACAGCTACTTTGAAACGGATGAGGAGGATAAAAAGGTGGACGAGGAAAAAATGCTGCTCAGGCAGGAGAAGCAGATCATGGGAGGCATTGACCGCGTGCTGCACCATAGGAAGATCGTCGACCACAAAAATGTGAATAATATAAAGAACAATCCCTTCCTGTACATCAACAAGGAGAAAGGCGCAGCTACCAATGGAGCGGTTGCTGGTGGAGCGGCGGGCGATGGAACGGCGGGCGATGGCGCAGATGGCAAGGCCGTGGCGGCGAACGACCACGAGGACCCAACCGTAGACGACTTTTACGAGGAGGAGGACATTGAAGACGTAAGTCAAGTAGAATTCCTAATCAAGTGGATTGGAAAATCTCACATCCACAACTTTTTCTGTACCTATGAATACTTAAGAATTTTCAACGGACTGAAAAAGGTAGACAATTATATAAAGAAAATTAAACAGTCATTTCAGAAGAGGAAGTACATGACGGCTGATGAAATAGAGCAAGAGAAAATTTACTCCGAGATTAAGAAGCAAATTGAGATGGACGCCATCAACGCGGAGAGGATAGTAAGTCACAGAATGTGTGATATAACCGGTGAGCAGTTATTTCTTGTGAAATGGATGAGCTGCGCGTATGACCAATGTACAGAAGAGACTAAGCAGACTTTAATAGATCATGGGTTCACAAAACTTATTGAAGAATATTTTGACCGGGAAAGTAAAATATATGGCATGAAAGCTTTTTCAAGTGTTTGGAACAGGGGTCCTTTAACAGCTACCAAATTCGACCCTTACAATGAGACGCCATTTTATCTGAACGGGAAAAAGTTGAGGGCATATCAGTTGACTGGTCTCAATTGGATGGTCAGCAGAATGAAACGAAGTTTAAGTGTGTTACTTGCAGACGAGATGGGATTAGGAAAAACGGTGCAGACCATCGCAGTGGTTGGTCACATGTTATATAAGGAGAAGTTAGTTGGGCCTTATCTTGTAATCGTTCCTCAATCCACTGTTGATAATTGGTTGAATGAATTTAAGAGTTGGCTTCCCCAAGCAAATGTCGTGTGCTACCATGGAAATGCTGTTAGTAGAGAGCTTATAAGGACTCACGAATTGAAAAAGGTTTACGTGGCTAATAAGGGGTATAGGTATAAATTTGATGTGTGTATTACGACCCCATCCATTTTGAATAGCGTAAGCGATTTGGAATTGTTGAAGAAAATGCCGTGGCAGTTAATGGTGGTGGATGAAGCTCATCAGTTGAAGAATAGACAATCTAAGAGGTTCATAGAATTGAAGCAATTTATGGCTGAATCGAAATTACTCCTTAGTGGTACTCCCCTTCACAACAATTTGGAGGAACTGTGGACCCTGCTTCACTTCCTGAACCCACAGCAGTATACACATTATGAGAATTTTCAAAAAAAATATAACGAAATTGAAAACACTAGTTTAATAGGGGAAGCGAAGCAGAAGCAGTTGATGCAGTTGCAACACGAGTTGCATGAAGTTATTTTACGTAGGGTTAAAAAGGACGTGGAGAAATCTTTACCTAACAAAGTGGAGCGAATTCTGAGAGTAGAATTATCACCCATCCAGATTGAATTTTACAAAAATATTTTAACAAAAAATTATGAACAGCTAGCTAAAGCATCTGGTGGAGCAAAGAATTCTCTTCAAAATATTTGCATGGAATTAAAGAAAGTGTGCAACCATCCCTTTTTGTGTTGTGAACCAGTAGACGAGGATGAGTATAAGGAACGGTTGGTTTATTCAAGTGGAAAAATTTGTCTCTTGGAAAAGTTACTAATTAGATTGAAGGAGAGAGGAAACCGTGTGTTAATTTTTTCACAAATGGTAAAAATGTTAAACATTCTAAGTGAGTATTTAACTTTACGCGGATTCAAACATCAGAGGTTAGATGGAACCATGTCTAAAGAAATGAGGAAAAAAGCTATGAACCATTTTAATAGTAAAAATTCAGACGATTTTGTTTTCCTTTTGTCAACGAAAGCTGGTGGTTTGGGTATCAATTTAACGTCAGCTGATACTGTTATTATTTATGATTCAGATTGGAACCCACAGAATGATTTGCAAGCAGGAGCGAGAGCACATCGTATTGGACAAACGAAAACGGTGCAGATATATAGACTGGTTACTAAGGATTCTATTGAACAGACCATCCTTGAAAGAGCTAAAGTTAAAATGGTACTAGATACTCTGGTTGTTCAAGGATTGAACAAAAAGCAAAATGATAATGTGAATTACATTGGGGGAGAAGGAGGAAATACATCTAACGGATTCACAAGAGAAGAATTGTCAAAAATTTTAAAATTCGGTGCACAGAAATTGTGGGAAAAAAACAGCTCTAAATATTCCCCTAAAAAAATGGATGAAGAAGAAAAAACGGTTATTAAAGGAGTAGATGTGGACTTGGACAAAATTTTAGAAGAAGCTGAAGCAAATGAAAATGCTAACAATGCAAATAAGGATTTGAATTCCGAGTTTAATAGTCTTCATGGTTCGAATAATTTGTTTCCTGGTGGTAATAGTTTGTTTGGAAGTGGAACATCAGGAACAGGATCTGGTACGGGAGCGGCAGGTGGAGGAGGAATTGCAGATGATCTACTTAGCTCATACAATAATATCACCGAGTTCAAATATGAACCACCAGCCAATTTGAAAAGTAACATTTATAATGACTCCACTAAAGCGGATGAGTTAGAGGAGGAAGAACAGAATGATAAGGATTTTTGGGATAGAACTATTCCATTAGAAGAGAGACTAAAATTGAAGAGGATGAAAGAGGAAGAGCTGTTAGTTCATGGACCCAGAAAGACCAGAACCCGAGATAATAATCGACACAGCTTGTATATAGAATCTGCAAACACACAAACAATGAATGATGATGATGATGACAGTGAGGAGTATACAATAAAGTATAATGATAAGAATAAAAATATGAAAAAGAAAAGAAAAAGAAGAACTTCTACTCATATAACAGAAAAGGATAAATTCCGATTGTACAGGTCCCTTTTGAAATTTGGTAATCCTTACCTACGTCTAGAAGATATTAGAATTGATTCCAAGCTCACCAAAGTCGATCAAAATGTCATACTCACAGAGTTAAATATTATTGTGGATACATGCAAAGAAATTGTGGAGAAGGTGGCAAAAGAGAACTCCTTGAAGGTGAGTGAGGAAGGAGGAGGGGGGATGGTGGTAAAGGATGATGGAGGAGGTATTATAGATGTTACAGGTGGAGTGGAGAATGATGAAGAGGAGGAAGAAGAAGAAAGGGCTGTTAAACGAGTAAAAGACGAAGCCGATATTAAGCTATTGAAAGAGGAGGAAAATAATAATACTACTACGACCACCGATAGTAACCATTTGACCGTCGCCTCGTGTGATGACTCCAGTGGGAAGAAATTGGAGGAGGGAGCCGATGATGCGGGCGTTGTCGCCGATCATCACACCGTTGATAGTGCCAAGAGTTATGAAGAGAAGAAATCGTCACCTGCAATGAAGGGAAGTAATAAGTCCTCTTTGAAAGCTGTGTCGTCTTCCGAGGGTGTTGGTCGTGATGGGGAAGAGGATGGAAACTCCGTAGCTGTGGCGAAGGACAGCGCGAAAGAAGGCCCCACTGATGAAACAGCAGCGGGAGAAGCGGCTGCCGGAGGAGGAGGCTTCTTTTCCAAGTTTCTGAATTTGGTCAAGGGCGAGGGGGCTGAAGAGAAGGTTGAGGGGGTGAAGGTAGAAGTGAAGACGGAAGTGAACGAAGTGAAAGAAGTGGACGAGATAAACGGAAAAGAAAATGATAACAACTCCAATGAGGAGAGCGATGGAAACACTAAGACTAAGGGCACGGAACGAGGAAGGAAGGTAGACGCATACACTTTCTACATTGGCACCAACAGAGCCAACGCCCTGGACCTGTGCCAGCGTCTTCAATTATTCAAAAGCTTGCACGAGTTTGTGAAGGAGCAGAATGGAGGAAACGAGTACAGCTTCAGGCTTCCGCTCAAAGGCACCAGTAGCAGCAGCGCGACCGCCAATGTGTCCTTCGGTGTTGTGGAGGAGGGAAAGAAGAGTAAGCAGGGGCAACAGTTACAGGAGAAAACCGAGTTAGAGGGTGAAGTGAAAGGAGAAGTGAAATCTGAAGTGAAGACTGAAGAGGGAGAAGTAAAAATAGAACCTGGTGTCGATGCGGTTTCTGAAGCGCCCGCAGAAATCAAGGCAGATGTGAACGACTACCTAAAACTGAAGCTGCCTGATTACATATTTAATCATTTGAGGGACCTCGCGACGAAAGACGTGAAGGCATGGTCCAAGGAAGACGATGAAAATTTAATCAAGGGGGTGTATGTTTATGGGTTCGGGTCGATTAACGAAATTTGTTCAGACGTGAACCTAAACTTGGGTCATATAAAAAATGTCAAGTGTGATAAAGTTAAGATGAGATGTGTGCGTATTTTGAAAATGATTGAAGAGTTTAACTCGAATGTTAAGGATGAGACAACTAGCAGGAAACGTAGAAGGGTGCGTAACAGGAATAAGAACAATGAAGTGAGTAAAGGGGAGGGAAAAGGCATGGGTTCTGGTGCAGGAACAAGCAGTTACAAGAGGATGAAACAGGAGGAGGATGATACCGGAACAGTGGACACCCCAGTAGCCGGATCCACAGGAGGAACAACAAACACCCTAGGGAAGGGAAGCGGTGGAAGTAATCATAAGCAAAGCTACTACAGCAGGAGGAGTAGCGAAAGGGTCAAGTCGATCTACATGCATGATGAGAGGGAAGACGGAGTGGTTACGAAGAAGAGAGCTGTTTGCTCCTCAGGAGGATCCTTAAAAAGGGGAGAAAAAGTAGAGCACAACGTCCATGGAGGAGGAGATAGTAGTACCCCGCATAGCGAGAGAAGGACAGGTGGCACACGGTCATCAGGGTCAGCAGTCAAAGGTGAAAGGAGTACCCATCACAACAGCAGTGGTGTTGACAATATGGGGAGCATGATGAGCCTTGGCAGTATGGGCAGCTTTGGAAGCAATACCATGAATAACAGAAAGAGTAGCAACCATCCTGGGGGTGGTGACAGCTCAGAGTGCGCCTCGTCTCACGAAAACAGAAGCTTCGGTAGTAAAGAAGATGGAGACCACGCTGTTAAAGGTAGTATTATGGGTGCTGGAGGGGCACCAGAGGGCAGCGTCGCGCCCAGGAGAAGTCACAGAAGTAGTAGTAGTGGCAAAAGGTACAACACTCCCGTGGATGATAGTGGGAAAATGACTCGAAGAAAAAGCTCCCGAGTGAGGAGAGCAAAGAATGAAGCTTCTGACTTTGTCACAGGGAAAAACAATACAGTTGGCTCAAATGAAGGTGAATACTTTGACAGTTATACAGACCTGAGCATGAATCCCGAGGGAGGAGCAGGGATAGGCTCGCTGGAGGTAGAAGATAAAGATGTGGAGTACCAAATAGGGGACGAAATGGATGACGAGGAGGAAAGAAAGAGAGAAAAAAAACATTTAAAAAAAAAAAAAAAAAAAAAAAATTATCAGATGATGAAGTACTGCATAAAATTCAAAGCTGTAATTTGAAGGAGATGAATCAGCATAGTATAAACAAGTTGGCTAAGAAGTACGTGAAGAAGTACAAGAAGTTGCTCAAGGTGGTGAAGAAAATTACACAGCTCAGCGATCAGGACCTCCTCCAACAGCAGCAGGGGGTGAATGACACAGCCGACCAAGGTAGCAGTACTAGTGCTACCGCTGCTTCGCCACTGGACAAATGGAAGTCCCCTGAAATTAAAAAAAAAATTAATGAGTTCACCCTTTTTATTGGTAACCATATTAGCAAGCTAGCCGATGTATGCCCAGACAAAGAGTGTGCAGAAATTTTGAGCAATTCCGGTTGGGAGTACGTTTCTAAATTTTTGGGTGAGACCAGCGAGAGCCTCAAGGGGAAGTATACGCAAGGGCAAGAGTCAAGCCAATTAGAACAAAGCAAAGACAGTGAGGATGGAGGAAGCTGTCAGGGATCCATCACAGAAGATGACCTCGCTGCTTTTTTTTTCTCCAAAAGGATCTCTAGCATGTGTCGCCTACAAGGGGGTGAGGAGGCAGAAGAGGAGGACGAAGACGATGAGGACGATGATGAGCAGCCACAGGATCAACCCAGGAGGGGAAGATCAATGACAAGCATCACTTACGAATTGGACTGAACCCAGCAGGCACCGTTCAATCACTGTGTTTATTTTTGGCCAAGGCTCCATTTTGCTGTGCGCTGAAAAAATCGGAACAGTGTTATATACAATAGGGAGAGAATGATTAAACCTGAAATGGAGTTACGCCTCACATGGGAGGAAGAGCAGAGAAAAAAAAAAAAAAAACACATATAAACATATATATGTTTATTTTTTATATATCCTTGTAACCTCTTCCCCACCTTGTCCATGCATACATCCATTTTTTTTCCTTTATCGAACTATGCAACAACGCAACTTTGAAATTTTTTCGCAGTCTTTTTTTTTTATTTTTAATTATTTTCATCTCGTGACAGTGACGTCACATGTAGAAGAGGAAGGCCCGCTTCTTATGGTCCAAGTAAATTTTTCGTATTTCTTTGGCACTCTTTTTTTCCGCATCGCTAAGTGAGATGTTATGGTGACGCCCCTCAAGAGGATGGGTAGTTCCTCTGTGTTTTGCATCCCAGAGGGGAAGAGGGAGGATTCCCATTTTAGGGGTTGCCTCCCCATGTGCTGGGCATGTCTGTTCTGCGCTGTACGAATCTGCATCAAATTTTACAAAAGGGTAGGAGGTTTTCCTCCTCCAGGGCGTGTCACTATTACGTTGCGCTTCACCCCTAAGGGGGTTGTTCCATTCGGAAGGCTCCATTCGTGTCTCCATTTTAGTCCCCAATGGGGAACAATCACATTGTCTTATTTGTTTGTTTTTCTTTTTCCTGTGTTTTTGTGCCAACAGGGGGTTATTATCATTATCATCACACTGTGGAGCGGTTGCATTGTCCGCTGTGTGTTCTGGTTCTGTTGTGATCCCCCCCAAGTAGATGGGAGCCCTGGTGGCAACGCCCATCTCCGAACTGGTTGGGGCTTCTTTTTTTTTTCTACGCGATGAGACAAATCCGGTACTCTGCCTACGTTCCTCTGGCGTCGTGGCTACTTCTTCTCTCCCTTTTTGTGAAATTTTCGCATGGGAAGCTCTTCCATGTGGGGTGTGTGTTGGGTCTGTTAAGGTTGTTCCACTTCCCTCTGAGGATGTGTACCCCCTCTGATGTTTTAAAAGAACGTCGTTGTACTTGTCCCCTTTTGCTATGCCTGGGTACGTTTCAGCTGCATATTCTTTCATCCCTTTACCCCCCCCTGTTCTGCTACATGTATTCTCATGTTTGTTTTCCTCATCCTGAGAGAGGACGACATGGCTGCTGTTATTGTCTTCCACTTGTGATGTTTCGTCCTCGTTCATATGTGTAAGTAAGTCGTTTATCCTTTCCCCTTCTGTGGGATTTTCTAACAAACTAGATTCCGTTTGTACATTTTTTCCTTCGCGCATTAGTTTCCCTTCTACTGCATCCTTCTTTTCTCCCCCCTTGGGGATCAGGTCCTCTGATATTTCGCGTATGAAAATTAAATCGTTATCTGTGTAGAGGCTGTAGAGTACGTTGTCTTTGTGGATGACGTGATTGGGTACCTTGAACATGTTTGTGCTTGGTCGAGTAGGAGGCACCGCGCGCGCTTTTCCGCATGAGGGGTACTTCCTTTGGGGGGAATTTTTGTTTCCTCTTTGGTTGTCCGACCTCCTGCATACCTCATTCGCACACTTGTACTGGTACCTGATCTCGCTAACTCTTTTTGTGATTCTTTTTTTTTTTAAAACTTCCATATCCCCATCGCTGGAAATTCTGTTCAAGGCTGAGTCTTCCAAGTAGCTGTCCCATTTGGCGAAGAAGGGGCTCATGAAAGTTATGTCTGTTTGTGTGGCGTTATTTTTGTACTTTTTTCCTTTTCGCTTTCTGCGCAAAATTTTGTCCAGCTGTAAGTAGAAGTTATCGCTCGGGATTATTTGCTGCTTGTTTTGGAGCAGCTCGCACCTGTGTAGGGGGGGGGGGGGAGCAGGCCATGTCGACTATGTGGGCGGCAAGGTCGGGTAAGTTGGCAGCCATGTCGACCATGTCGTGTGAGTCAGATGCACATTTACGGAGTTTTGTTTTTTTTTTTTCCCAAATGCAACCCTCACCTGATGCTGAGGTTCCTGTTGACCTTTTCATACTCCCCCTTGAGACTTTTTATTTGTTTTCTGAGTTTTATATTTTCCACAATAAACCAGTCTTTCCCTCCTGCGTCCTCGCCAGAGGGTGTGCTGGACGCCGGGGAGGTGGCGCGGCTGCTCCCCGCGGGGTCTCCCTCCTCCGTTTGGGTTGTCTTGTCCCCCACGCCCTTCAGCATGACACACACTTGGTTTGGAGGACGTTTCGAAGGATGTTTGCAAATGGTTTGTCATCTACTTTGATGGGTGTGGTATATCCTCTTCCTTTTCATACCGTACCTGTTACCACCCTTGCCTTGGCTACCTGGCTTGCTCCGTCTTCCACCCCTGGTGGCAAAAAGAGAAAAATTCACACCCACCAGAACAAGACAGTAAAGCGAGCGTAGTCGTATATTTTTTTGGACGAATGCTCTATTGGCCTCATCGATGGTGTTTGAAAAAAAAAAATAAAATAAAAGTAATAAAATGTAATAAGTTTAATTGAACCATGTAGGATAAACCCAAAAAATTATTTTTACATATCGTCTTCGTTTCGCCAGATGGACACCTCGAACACGTCTGCACATGTGCATGCGAAGGATCACACCGAGGGGAAAAAAACAAAAAAAAAAGAGAAAAAATTGAGTAAACCAAAATGGACAGATCATGCGGGAGGGGCACAAACCATCGGCAAAATTTGTTCCTCCAGGTTGACTCCCACAACCCAAGAGGACCCTACATGCATGCACCTTTGCGAAGAATCCCTCAAAGGGAGGGGGGCCAAAAAGGGGTTGGGTTGTGTCCTCCAAAAGGGATGAGATGAAAAAAACATCTCAAGGTTCCTATTTCGAAATGAGGTGATCAAAACGTGGTTAGGTGGGAACAATTGTGATCGGTAGAAAAGGTCTTGTAAATTTGATTTACGTGACGCCGAGAGTGAGGACCCTCCCGTTAGACGATGTGTGTGGTGGTCCTCATTTCCATTTTGAAGAGAAGAGCAAAATGGGAGCGTCCACCTAGTGGACACCGTTCAGGCACACTTTTTTTTTTTTTTTTTTTTTTTTTTTTTCTTCTTTTCTGAGCTCCCATGCGTAAAGTTCGAATGTGAAGAAGTCTTCCCTTTTTTTTTTTGGTTGGGGACACTTTTTATCCTTTTTGAGCATTACGCCGCCGTGATGCGACGACTTTTCCGCGAGTAAGATAGGAATATACGTGTGCCAATTTAGGAAGAGTAAACAAAGGGGGGGCTCCTTTTTCTCCCGCCCCCCCCCGTATGTGTGATGCAAGGGGGATATTATATACTATACCGCCCGTGCACACGAAAAAAAATAAATACATAAAATAACGAGGGCACTTTGAACGCCACGTTCGGGATGTCTAACGTCGCCTGGTTCGGCTTTCAAATTGGTAATTAAAATGGGAGAGAAGTCACGCAAATGAAGTTTTTTTTTTGGAGTGGGCACAATGTTCACGCGGTTGACGCGGTTGCAGCCTTGAACGATTTATGCCGTTTGCGTGGCCCCTCCCGCTGCCCCCACGGCTGATGTGGAGGGGTCGTTTTCCGCGCCGGGGGTGTTCGCGTCGGATCTCTTCTTCCCGACGTTGCCAGTGAGGAATACGACAAAGACAAGGATGAGTACAACAAAAAAAAAGAAAACGTGGAGTACATTCAACGACTCCGCAGTGATGCAGTGTGGTATGTTTTTCATATCACAAATGTGGGGTTCCTCCATGCAACAAGTAACCTTTTGTATTCCCTCCGAGTAGACCTTCATGCCGCTAGTCTGCTTAGGTTGATGGTAGAAAAACTTCCTAACGATCCCTTTCTTCCTAACAACATAAGTTTGTGTGTCGTAGAGTTTAAAAGCCCCATATGCATTCACACTGCAATTGCGAAGAGAAAGAAATTTAAGAAAAGGGACTTTAAAAAAAAACAAAAATTGATATTGCCCTTGATCATAAATGAGATTTTTTTCATCTACATATTTTTCATTTGAATTTATAATACATTGTAGCTTTAGTCTGGCTTTTATTTTTTCCATGGAAGGGTTCCACAAGTGTACGAGTACTCCACACTTTTGTGTATTCTGTTCATCACACTGATCTGAATACAAAATGTTGATGATGCGAAGTTCGTTTAAGGTTTCTAGCTGGAAGACTGTAGAATCGTATGGTGGTTCTGGTTCTTCTAATGGCTCTTGTTCATCTCTTTGAGGATTTTCATTTTTTACAGATAGGACTTGATTCTGTATCGCATGCCCTACTACGTGCTCCTTTTTCGTGTTAGACAAACTGATGGTAAACTCTGTTCTGTCTTCCTTGTAGTATTCATAAGCAATGAAATGTTCAATGTTGGTATTTTTAAAAAAATGGACTGTCCTTTTATTAGGAGAAGTTTGTTTATAATTATTTTTTTCCCTAAATATATAGTGTGGGTATTTTCCATTTATAATGGGTAGTTTTGTAACCGTTTCTTCATTTCCTTTTGTAAGTTCTTGTGCCTTGTTGAGATAAGACTCCACAGTGTTCGATATACAATCTGCGTCTTCAATGCAGGACTCTCTCCTAGACACAGTATAATCATTATACCCTATTAAACCACAAGCAGCAAATGTATCATCTGACACGTAATTCTTAGGAACCAATATGGATCTACTAAGACATGTAGAATCGGTGTATGTGCATTTATTTTCATCATTCTCAATACACTCAAATTTGAAGGACTTATTGTAAGAGCACCCGTAATCCAGTGTGCCATATTTTATTCCATATAATTCTTCAGGGTAAAATGGGTACAAAAGATAATTGTTGTGGAGGCTGGGGATGGACACATTATCAAATGCAGAAGATGAATGAGTAATATAAATATATTTATTATCGAACAGCTTAATCGGTTTTGCAGATTCACTGATCACATATCTGTAAGTCATTGTGTCTAGACGTCCCTTATCATTATACAATTTGAAATAATCAGTAAAACTTTTTTTTTTTTTCATGACGGTAATATTGAACACAAGAAATATATGAACATCGTTTTTAAATTTGAATAGAGCATACATTGGAAGGACATGACGCAAAGCTTTCTTCACTGATACAAGTCTTTCATGTTTTGGGTCACGTATTATTGTATCCCTTGCAGGACACTCCAATTCCATTTTCTTCGGAATCCCTTTGTATAAATCATTTATTGAATCATATGAATGTGGTAAATCATAGCATGAACAACAGAGGGAGAATGGTCTGTCGTTGAAGCCTTCAAAGGTTGGTACTTTTATTTGTTCATACGTACTGAAGTCATAACTCTCACATTTATCTTTTCCCTTTTTATTTTGTGAATCTATTGTGTCAATTCCTACCTCCATAAATTCTTTATAACTGAACACAGACTTATGTGGGGCCAACGTTTTGTATACCATTGGGTATGCTACTATAAATTTTGTTTGGTGCAGCACTACGTAGAATTCTTCTTTCTTATGTCTTACAAGTAGCAGAATCTTTTGGTTGTTTCCAATTTTGACCTTGATGTTCGTTTTATATTCGCATTTTTCCTCCTCGCTGCACTTCACCAGCTCTTCCTTGAAGCCGACTCCATCGGCCGCCTCGCTGGGGGGCGTCATCGTGTTTCTGACTGGGCGCACAATGAGGGGATAAAGCAGCGTGATATATGTGAGGTGGCTTTGACACCGCGCGGTAGGCGCATTACGATGCAGGCGCTTCTACGCACGCCTCGACATACGTATTTGCACGTGGAGGCTTCTGCCGCTCTGACCTACGCTTCTATCTTAGGTGTATTCCCCTGTGTGAATCTATACACTTCTGCGCATGTGTGTGTGTGTGTGTAGTTTCCGCTTTCTTCCTCTTCCTGTTGGGGGTCTTTCTTAATTCGCTTCAACACTTCGCTTCACCACATAGGACACCTGCTCTTTCTCGTGCGGGTGGAACAAACGTGATTTCTATGGAGCGAAAATGCGAGCACTCCTGTTTGGTCTAGCTTCTTTTGTTTTGTATTTATTTGTTTATATTTTTATATATTTTTTTTCCCCCCTTTTGGAAGGATGAGCAGGTAGAGAGGCGCTGTCTGCACATCTGCCGCAATTTTACCCGAACTCATGGAGGTGCACTTTTTTTTTTTTTTTTTTTTTTTTTTCGCTTCTCTGTGTGTCTTCTCCTTCCTTTGCTGCTATGGCTTGCGTTTCTGCGTTTCTACCTTTCTGCGGAGCGAGGGAGGTGGGGCATCCCCTTCCCCGTTGGCAGGTTTGCATTGGCTCGTGCGGTTTGGGTTCTCTTGTGGTGACCTGTGCTCATATTTGCGGGGACATGTACTCACTCGCTTTTGTTCGTTTGTTTGTTTGTTTGTTTTTTCGTTTTTTTTTTTTTTTTTCCTCTTTGCCCCTGAAGTAGGAACACGAGGATGCTTCTCCAGCTGCACGTGGACAGCCAGGGGGGGGAACACATCGTCCCAACACAGCGCGAAGTTTAAGTGAGGCATCACGGAGTTGTCTCTTTCACCACAGTGTGGGAGTTGGTGTCGTTTTGAAGTAGACGTTACACCTACCCCTCGGTCTTTTCACATCTTCAGCGCGGTGTGTGTGTGAACGTGTGTTGAGTCCATGCATTTGTTTTTACTGTCCATTTTCTACCAAGTGGAAAAGAACGAACAGTAGCAATACCCAGGATATGAGTGAGAAGGACTTTTATCAAGTTAGGTCTAGTGTGTTGGGAGTCCCCCATAAGAGGAGAGAGGGAGGAGGGGGGAAATGAAAGAGGCTAGCCAGAGATATCATCACCACTACCGGTGTAGGTTATCACGTGGGTTAGCACTTGCGCGCCTCGTCACTCGCACAGGATGAACCACATGGCTACTTCCACACCAAATTCTTTTCCATTATCAGAATTTGGAGGGACACATCGAGGAGACCAGGCGGAAGGTACACGTGTGTCAGTTAGGTGGTTGCACCATGGCCTCACTTAGGATGAAGCGTGACCTTGTGGAGAGTTGCACACCATACGGAGTGACACCTCGGTGGGGTTGTACTCCTCTCTCTCATACACTGCTAACCCCCTGCAACGACACCTTTCTTCCCCCCCTTGGCCAAGATCGAGGAGAAGGAAAAACTTATAGCATCGGAAAAAGGTTAGTGAAAAAAAAAAAAAAAAACGGTCCAAAAATATAATGGCAGATTGGTGAAAGAGGTGGTACCTTTGGAACATTTCGAATCAAAGTGAGAGAAAAATATATCCTTTCACCACTTACAAAAAAAAAGTTGCCCTTTACATATCTGTCCTTATTAACGGTAAAATAAAACCCACTGATGGACCTGTTTTTTCCCCGTGGTGCTTATTGCCGGTCTGCTTTCTTCCCAGCTGGAGATGGGAATGCGTCAAGAGCTCCACAGAGCCAACCCTGTTACTACGGCTATTGCAGCTTAGTGGTCCCGTCGGACCACAGCTCTGATGATGGCTCCGCCTCAAGGTACACATTATTAAGAGTGAACTATATATTATGTGCACGTATGAGTGTGTTGCACATGGGTATGTTTGAAAATAAATGTGTGCTCCTTTATGACGCGAACGTTGCCATTGCTTGGTGGAGGAAAAGAGACACAAGGGCTACACCGTGTGTCACATCGTGCGTCACACCGTTCGGCTGTCCGTTCGACCGTCCGGTTCGCTAATTACGTTTTCGCCACTGCAGTGACAACGTGAAGGGGTTCCTGAACCTACACGAGGATAACGAAATGGACAATATAAAAAAAAGACTAAGGGAGAGGAAGACGGGAATTCGCAGTAGACGGAGTGGCTCCACCAATGGCGGACCCCCCCGTGGAGGTACCCAAAAGAATAGGTGTGCAATTGTGATGAAGGCAAGCAAGCCATCGGAAAGCAAAAGGGGGAGAGGAAATATAAAAGAGCTAATCAATTTGGAAAAAGAAATTATTGTTACAAGAACACTGATGCAGAAGAAAAAATCGAGGCTAGACGATATTTATAGCTACACGAGTAGAAGAGAGAAGGTGATAAAGAATTTGAATTTGAGCATGAACAAGGAGGCGTCCTTGTTGCAAGACTCCCTGGTGAATATGTTTAAGCGAACTGAAGAACTGATTCGGGTAGGGTCTCTCCCCCCAGCGTGGGCGTTTTATACAGGTGTGAAGAGGAGAGACGTTAAAGTGATCCTCTGTACACACACCCATCAACACCTGCTCTCGCCTCCTCCCCCGTGTACGCAGAAATTTGCTGAAATACGCGCGAGGAAAAAGAAGAAAAAAAAACAAGTGCAGCTGTTGAATATCGAGATGAGCAAACTGGAGGTGGAGCTTGAGAAGAAGGAGGAAAAGATAAGGGAGATGGACAAGTATAAAAGTTTTCTGAACAAGCTAGCCAGCACAGAGGGGGAAGCGACACAAATGGAGGAAGAAGCGACACAAATGGAGGAAGAAGCAGGAACCAGTATGACCACGTCAGGAGAAACGTCTCACTTTACCCCCCAAATGCATAAATATACAAACAACTCCCAACTGCTCATAGATCATTTCAACCTGCTGGAGGAGCAGCACCTTCAGCTGATCGATGACACACAGAACGCCGAGTACGAATTGGAAGAATATGAAAAAAAATTGGCGGAAAAAAAAAAAGAATTTTTAACAAAAAGCAATGATGTTAAGAAAAAAATAATGCAAATGGAAAACTACATTAAAGATCACATGGACCAAATACAAGAATATGAACATACCATTAAAAGCAACAACAGTCAAATATGCTTCGATAATATAAGCAGCAAAATTGATTTCATTTGCACTCACTTTAACTACGACGTGAATACAAATGAAGTTATGAAGAAGTTACAAATAATGGAAAACCACATGTACTCGTACATTTCCACGCTGACCAAGTACACGGGTGGGTGTGCACACAGCGTGCCCGCGATGCGCCGCGATGCGCGGCTTTTTACACCGTGCCGCTTGTTACATGCGCCGCTTTCCCCACCCCTGCAGAGGAAAACAGCCAGCTCGTGTACGAGTACCAGCGGGAGCGCGAGCAGGAGAGGCGAAAGCAAATGCGGTTTGAAATTAACCTCGACAGAAAGGGGAACAACCAAACCAAGCAGCTCAAAAGTGCGAAGACTGCGAATAAGACTTTCGGAGCCAACCAGAAGGAGGTACGCAGCGAGGGTGTTACTCGGAGGAATATACACACACATGTGAGAGGGAAGAGGCACATTGGCTCACCGTTGGTACCATTATGCAAAGGTCACTTGGGGTAGATTTTTTTTTTTTTCCCTAGTTAACAAAATTTCGTTCCATTCGTAGTGTAGTACAGCATAAGTACACATAACAGGGGCACCCCGCAGAGCTAACCACGTGTGAACTTTTGGGGTGTATCCCTCACAGAACACGCGCGGAAAGTACATTATCTGCGTGCCCTCTTCTCCTGCCCATTCTGCTGCCGCTGTGCCCCTCTCTCACCCCAACCGCGCGCAGAAAAAGGAGAAACGGGAAAAGCGGGAAAATATTTACACGCTTTTCGAAAAGGACCTCTTCAAGTGAGCAGGCCTTGGGGGAATTACTCTCCCCCCTTTGCCTTGCAGGTTCGAACACGGAAACAAACGGTTGGGTGGTGGGACCCCCCTCCCCCCAGTTGTGGATAGCCATTCCCCGTGGGTAAAGTCACCCTATATAAGGACGCAAAAAGGGCGGCACAAAAACGACAGCACGAAAAGGGCGACGCGATTCTCATCACGTAGGAGCACCCCGAACCATGGACAGACAAAACCAAAAAAGAAATTTCAAAATTTTGTTCGAGAGAAGAATTATATTATCCCCCGATGGAGAAAAGCACACAGACAAGTCGATAAATGGATTTTACGGAGTGTGCCTGATCCTTCTTTCCCTGTGCATGGTGTGTCTCTCTAGTTTTTTTTTTTTCTTTCCCATGCATCCGTACGCCGCATACTATTACATCGTGAGTGTTGGCTCCATCCCCATGTACATTATGTACAGGTACTTTACGTGGATTTCCTTGCAGCTGTTTCAGTACTCCTGATATGGGAGAGCCTTGCACTGGCTGGCCAAGCAGCATGTGGGCTACGCTGCGCGCGCCTGTGCGTCGTCTCTTCTGTGCTCCACGTAGACCTGCGCGGTTGGGGGGTGTTATGGAAAAGAGAGTTGCGCGCGATGAGAACACACCCAAGTCAATTGTACGCAGTAGCAGACCTGAGCAGACCGCCCTACCTGACATATGGGGTTGAACTCGTTGTTCTCGAAGAAGTTTATACTTTTGATGATTTTTTTATCAAACAGATCGAGGGCTGCGTGGGGGAATCCGTATGTGAAAAAGGGGACAAAGAAAAAAATTTATTAACACGAATAATAACAGTAATAGGACAACGTTGAAAGTGGTCTGATTTGACATCACAGAGTAAAAAAAAAACAAACAATCACGTATTTTATTTTATTTTATTTTTTTTTCTTTCCCTACTATCGTATGATATCAACTCCCAATCCTTCGTCAAATTTTCGCTCGTCGTGGAGGTCGTCTCGTGGTCCTTCACCAAGTCGAAGGAAATTTCAAACGTTTTATCTGCAGTACATGTGTGTGGGTGCGTCACGACGGTAGCTGTGGTTTTTTATTTTCTCTTATGAGTAGTTATTTCACGCTTGCATGAAGAGCGCAGTGTGCAATGTGAAGCATGTTCGCTGCTCCAAATGAGGGGTGCACCAACCTGCGGTGTACGTCTCACACATCTGCATCTCGACGTACGTGAAGAGGTCCCACACGAGCTCCTCAAAGGCGGGGTAGCTAATCTGCGTCTTGCGTGGTTTATAAAGCTGCTCGAATTCGATGGTATAAATTTTCAATACTTCATTTTTTAAATTCTTCAAGCTGATGCGATACTTATATAGGCTCTTGTTTGCGATGAATCGCTTGATTGGATAGAGGGCCTGTAGGGGGAAGGGGGGTACTCATACAATACTGCTCATTGTTGTCGTCGTGGGGGAGGGATTCGAGTCGATCCTCATTTTGGTTATCCCCTCCGTGCACTGTGTCTTTTGTCTCTCCATAGTTCAGCGCTTAACCTGTTGTATGTACTCTTCCACTTGTTTATTTGCGCAGTGCCTACGGTAGGGCAGGGTTTGCACATGTGGGTGTGTGTGGGGGTGGGAGGGGTGGCGAAGGTAAATCTACACAGACAGGCAGTGAAGAAGCGAAGCAGTGCAGGAGTGAAAAGTGTGAGGCACTGACGCAGTGGTGCCGGGGGAGGGGAATAAATCACTGCGCAGGATAAGAAGTGCACACCGTGGGTGCATGTATTTACTTTTATGCCACCTGCCTAGTTAAGCTCGCTGTTGAGGTGTTGCGGATTGTTGGTCGGGTCAGGTGGGGGGTTCCTTTTCCCTTATGGAGGAAGATAAATAAATGCACAGGGGAGGGGGACACCCGCTTGACGTGCAGTCTCTTTCTGTCCTCATCGTGAATTGTGCTTTGTTGAACTAATCGTTGCCTTAACCCGCTTTTCCCCCTCTACCCTGCGCCGAGGCGGTCCGATTTTTTGCCTTTTTTTTTTTTTTGTTTTGCCCTCACTTTCGGTTATTTTTTTTTTCGTGCCTTACCATACGAGCGTGTTGAATTTTCTTTTTTTTTCAAAATGCTCTGCAAGGAGAGAGAAAAAAAAAAAAATAATAATAAATAAGCCTGCATAGGCAGTTGTATACGTAGGTTGTAGAGGCATATGTAGATGTACGTACGCGTGAGAGAGCGCACGAATGCGAACACAACCACGTGGCTCATTCGCACATTGAGCATTTCCCTCACCTGAGGAGTATACATTCATTATGTAAAGAATCAGATGCGTGAAGGCTTCGATAAACTCCATTAAGTAGGCTTCCATTTTGCTTCCTCTTTTTTTTTTTTTTTTGTTTTTCCCGCGTGTTGTAAAGGATGGAGGTAAGATGAGGAGTCGGCCTACGCGCTCTGTCGCAAAGGGAAAAAAACGGGTGGAAAATCGACGAATGAAATAATGGACGGGCTTAGAGAATGATCAAACGAGTGTAACCTTCTGCGCCAATGCTACTAACATACATGCGTGCTTGGTAGCAGGATGGGAGGGCATACGTCCAATGAGCGCGCTCGAGGGGGGATCGCAATACACATGCGGGGGAATGTGGTTGGTGGGTTGCCCACCCCCTCCCTTTTCGCTTTCTCTGACCTGCCATCCACCTCAACAACCCACTCCTACTCACTCGCGATACCACACCTTTACACTCCTCGAAGGGCCAACGAAGCTTAAAAAAGGTGAACGTGTACAAGCGCTTGCCATACCTTTACCTGGGCATGTTTTTTATCGGGGGGCTACTGGAGGTGGTTTTCTGTTCCACCAATTTTTATCAAATATATAACATCGGTAAGTGCAAGATTGACCATGTGGAGAGGTGTGTGTTCATTTTTTTTTTTTTTTTTTTGGTGCATTTTTGAGCATGTAACGTTTTTTCCAAGTGCATTTCCGGTTATGCCTCTTGGCCTTCGTTAGCATAGCCACGCGGGTTGTGCAATTGTCATGTCTGTACAGTTTTTTTTTTTTTTTTTTTTTTTCTTTTCGTTCCCTTTTTTGCGGGCTTGCGCTTGTGTGGACGAATGTGCACAAAAAAGCCGTGCCATTTGTCGGCCGCAATTTTGTTTTGCCTGGCCGTTGTACTCAGTGTATGAAAAGTATACCCGACTTGGTCCAGTGTCATTACGTTTTGTTCATTCCGTTTTCGCCTTTTCAATCTTACCTTTTTTGCGTCTTTTTACGGTTGCCCCCTTTTTTTTTTTTTTTTTCCTCATTTCACGTGTGCCCTTCCTATATCGCCCTTTTCCTGCACACCCAAGGCGAGAGTGAAAAAAAATCGGATGCAGACGTATCGGAACTCATGAAGAGATACGAGCTCAGACAGAAGATTAAAGAAAGTGAGGCAGCCCTCCCCATATATGTGCACATTTTGCCTTGACCATTTTTTGTCCACTCCTTCCTGCTCTTCCCTTTTGTGGTGGCAGCTCGGCGAATCGCATGAATTCGTTGGGGAAACGGCAAGCTGTGTTCATCTAGTCCTCTGACTTTGTTATGGCCACGTTGAAAGGGGCCCACTGCTTACGACTGACCAATTGTGCATTTTTTTTTTTTTTTTT